AGTCGACTATACACATCATCCAAAACATTCTCAACTCTCTAAATTTGGAAGTTGAATGTTGAGCATATTTTGGAGTCGACTCTTATTAAAGAGAGTCCAGGAAATACAAGTAAACTCTAACCCACATTTCCTTTTCCATCTACGAATTGGATGTCAAAATGCCTCAAAATCTAAATATTGACATGATCAGAAGCCTGAAGAGCCTCACCAGTTAACCAGCAGATCCTCCACTCCTGCAAAATCTTAGCTCCCATCTGCTCATAAAATTTGATAGCATTCACATTCCAGTCCGGCACCACCCATTCCACCCTCCCGTACCCCATCTTCATTGCTTGCGTCGCCACAGCCGAAAGCAACATCTTTCCAAACCCCTTTCTCCTATAACATTCCTTCACGAACAAGTCCTCCACATAAAACCTAGGCTTTGCCAAAAAAGTCGAGTAATTTGGGAAAAACAAAATGAACCTAGCAATCACAATTTCGTTTACAGGGTCAGACATGAAAGCGTTCTTCTCAGGATTGGTGATGGGGAGGTCAAAATTAACAATACGCTCATGAGGAGTGAAAGATGGAGAATAAATTGGGGCAAGTGGATTGTGAGAAAGCTCAAGGACGAAGATGGTGAAGGACTGGAAAGGGGGTCAGTTGAAAAGGGTGGAGGAGAGAGAGGCCTCGGTGGAGTAATATTTTTTTGTCAACAACATATTCGTTGTTGCTGATGTTTGGTTGGGTAAAAAGATAGGAATAATAGCAACATAGTATATGATGCTAATAATTTAGGTGGTTGACAAAGTTTTAGCAACATAACTTTTGTTGCTGAAAATGAATTTCAATGACAAGAGATATGTTGTTGAAAATGGAACTCAATTAGGTGGGAAAATAGTTATCAAAAAATATTAGAAAAAAAGGGAAGGTGGTGCCAAAAAGGGAACAAGCTTTTAAATGGGAGAGTGTACTGTAGAGCTTTAAGCAATATAGGCCTTGTTATATTAGCAACAAAGGATCCCATATTGCTAATATATTATTGCTAAATGTCAAAATTTTAGTAGTGATCTCAGTTGGTCCCCAAACATTTACCAATTCAACTATGAGGCATTTGCCATATTGTTTAAGCACTCTCTTACCAGCCTCCTGCATGTAGAATCCAAGATCACAATCGCCCTTGAGATGACCCATGCATCTACAAACATAACAAAAGTTAGGTAATCATTCATATTTAATCTTCAAACGTGAGGTTTCTTTTACATTTGGTACTTTAGGAATTAGTTATATGGTGTGGTGGAGTTTTGGACTCTAGACCCTAACTTTAAATTAGTGTTTTTAAATTAATTAAAACTAACTTGACTAATATATACTCTTTTATGTTTTAATTCAATTTTAGAAAGCAATATTTTAAATAGT